ATAATAATAATAATAATAACAATACAATTATAAAACTATTATTAATGGCCTTGAAGAACATATCGGTCAAACCTTATAGAAAAAGCTGCACTATGTGGAGGAAGGGGTGTCAGTTAATCATGTACTACTAGTTAAAGGTCTCAAAGATGAGAAAAGACATTATGTGACAAATAAGATTAGGACAAATACAGGAAATAAAGACGGCCACTCATAAAAACCCCAGGGGGGGTGCTGGATTTGGAATGATGCAGAATGATGGGGTATTTAACAGGACAGTGGAGAGGCCCTGTCTATTTGTACGGCCTTAGGAACCTGGTGACTTTGGAGCGCAGCAGCTTGATGAAAGAGCGAGGGAACATCTCTTTGGACTCTTGTACTGAATACCTGAAGTAGTTCTGGGGGTGGGCCAGCACATCAAACAGGGCTTTAATCAGCTTCTTGTCCTATAAGAAAAATACAAAGGTCATCCAGCCCTTTATCATTTCCAGGACATCAACTATTGATGGTTTTTCAAGTACATTTTGTGTCTCATACATACACTAAATGGTACCTTTGGTCTCTGCATGAGATGCAGGGTATGCAATAAAGAAAACTGTTAACTCATTCACATCAATAGTTGATGCCCAGAGCAGCGGGATCAATCATTTACAGTGAAATAGTATATTAAAATCCTCTTTTTCTTGCGTAAAGCCAAGCTGTTTACTGATGTTCTGTCAAGTAACTTTGGTGTCTCATAGTGATGAGTTAACCCTCCTGTTATGTTGCAGGTCAAATTGACCCACGAACATAACTGCTGAGCAGGCATCACCTGAGAAATGAACATAACAGGAGGGTTCCCTATGTTCGTGGGTCAATTTGACCCGCAACATAACAGGAGGATTAACATTGCAAGCTATTGAAAATCCTGCATGTGACATACTGATGCTACCCTGTAGCATCAGTATGAGACTACAAAGGGTACTTGACAAAGTGTCAGTATTTGACACACTGGGATGAGAATGTGTTGGGTCATCCCACTGGACCACTCAGATGAGGTAAGGCTTTTTTTCAACCTTTATTTTCTGTGTTTGAAAGTACAAGAACCTTTCAAAATAAAATACCGGTCCCCAAGAATTAAATACAAAGGACAACACAAACATCTTCAATACCTTCAATATCTCCTGGTGGTTCTCAGAGGCATAAAGCCTGCCATCTCGCACTATGTCCTCTATCAGCTGCTGGTAGTCCTCTGTAACACCATATGGTTAAATTATGAGGTGACAACACATAAAACAGTAAAAATAAAATCAAAAATAAAACTGTGGTAAGCAGGTGTTATATGAGTCTTGTTGAGCGAAGGTAAAAAGGAACAGTAATTTTTGCTCACCATCATAGGTAACATATGGAACTTGGAAGCCTTTGCCACTGTTACCCTCATTGGACTTAAACTGGATCCATAGTTTGCGAGAACGAGAAGTGAAAGCAATGGGCCGCTCATAGGTCTGACACGTCTCATAGGTGGTAATGGAGGTGGGCAGGGCTGGAGGAGGAGCATACACATGTTGGAATGGTACTCTTTCACACCCTTAATGTTTTCTAGGTTTTCAACCTGTGGTCTGCAGCCCCCTGGTGGTCCCCAGAAGCAATGCAGGTGGCCCCTGATTAATCAGTAATGTAGTTGCACTGGGGCAATTTTTTTTACTCATTTCCATGTATTACTTATTGTTTATGAACATGCAAATTGAGGTAAATATATAAACTTCAGAATGTCTTAGTCAGACTTTTTCAGTTAAACTCAATAGTGCCAACCAGTCAGAATGGTGGTCCCTGGGGTTCAATTAGTTGAAAACCCCTGTTCTAGGATTATAAGGGAGTTTTAGTTCTTTTGATCTGTTTTGTATCACTGCATTTCACACAGAAAAATATTCAAGTGAACCAAATGTTTCACTAAATGCCACAAGAGAACATCCACTCTGATCACTGGTTATATGTGTCTGGGAGTAAGAAAAGAAAACTAGAAAAATAGTCTGCATTAATGCTTGCATTTGAAACACAGCATCTCAATGTCACATTTCATGTGTCATTTGTTGACTTTATATACTTCCGTTCAAACTAATTTCACTGTCATTCCAGGTCTAATCACCTGCAGTAACCCTGCTTCCCAACAGATCAGTTACCTGACAGGCCCTCTCCTTTCCAGCTCACCTCCAGGTCCTCCACCAATCATACATATTTACTGGACTACTCTCACTCATCCTTTGCCAGATTGTCTAAAGTGTTTCTGTGCTATAGGATTCCAGCAGTTTTCCATGTCTTGTTTGCTGCTTGTTGAGACACTGACCCTTGCCTGGATTTTGGACTTTGTCTCTGCCCCCCCCCCATTGAACCTTTGCTTGAACTGTTTGCCTCTTACTATCCAGCATCTGTTAGTCTCACTATGTCTGTGAATTTGCTTTTACCCAACTGACCAAAGTCAGTAAGGGTAAACTAGTGGAACTGTATTCTCTGGTCCTGAGTCATACTTTTGAGCTCAAGCCTGATTTTGTGACACTCCCACCTTTATGTACTCTTGCATTAGTTGTTTTACTAACATGACACTGTTCAGTAGATCAGTCAACTCTCCATCAGCTGCTGAATGAACACCATTCAGTGTTTTTTTTTATCAAGTAATGTGGGCAAAAGGCAAATATCAATAATGCAATGCACTTTATTTGGTAGTTCATATCAGGCCTTGATTAATTCTCTGGCTAACTGATAGCTACTGTAGATTTCACTGTGATTCCCAGCATGCATAGTGCACCTATCTATGGGAGCCAGTTAGCTCAGACTTAGTCTGCTCTGTAGTTGAATTATATTAAAGGTTACATTACGTTCCCACCACAAACTGCTCTAGAATATGTTTGCGACTGGACATAGATCATGTCCTCTGAAGGATCTCACTCCCTTAAAAAAGCTACCCTAGGTTGCTCTCACATAGGGAGCTTCACATTAGTAAATGCATGCAAATGGCAGCATAGAAGTTCCACAGCAAGCTCCAAAAAGTCAATTCCAAATTGTATGGTAATCTCCCCATGTTAATGTGAAAAGTCCAGTTTTAACTGTCAGATTCAGGTTCTCTTGATACTGCTATGCTAGGTTGAAAAAGCTAGGTGTAAGGACAAAATGCCAGAAGTAGAAGGCTGAGCAGTGGAAGAATAATAAAATTTGACTGTAATACATGCTGACCATAGCTTCCTTGGAGTTGTGAGTAACTGAAGAACAATACATTTAAAAACCTTAGCTCCTGCTTAGGATGTGCTCCAACTCCAGCCAGAATCAGTAAGTATACAAAAAAGTCATCTCCACTTTCTTAACCTGAAAGCACAAAAGATCCACTTCCAACCCTCCATCTGATCAGCTGGCTCTAAAGTCAGCAATCCAGCAGCTCACCAACACCATATTCTAGCACCTGAATATCCATCTTCCTGTCAATCCTCATTGCCAGCCCCAGACGGAATCTGCACCCACAGAATTTCAATGACACCTCTGCTGACTTTCTGCAAATTTTGGAAAGTAGAAACTCAGAATGTAAACACCTGTTTGCCCCCTACCTGCATGTGTGCAACAGTTGTGTTATGTTGTGAAAGTTTGTGATACAGGCAGAGGTGAGAAAGATGACTGGGAGATGACCCCTAGTAGCCTTAAAGCAGGCAAAAGAGAGAACCTATCAGTCTGTTACTTGGGCAGCTGCCAAGCATTTGTCAAAACCTGGTTTTGATCCCATCTTACTGCTGTGCTTAAAAGTTTCAGTCTCCCTCTGCATCAGTACAGTGTATTCTGGAAACTCATCTGCAATTGACGTTGCTGCCTAAGCAACATTTCAAGGCGTGGCTGCATGAATCGGGCTTGCTTGGTCAAATTGCTGCAAAGAAACCACTACTGAGGGAGACCAATAAGAGAATTGCTTGGGGCAAGAAACACAAAGAATGGACTTTACATCAGTGGGAATTTGTACTGATGGGTCCAAATTGGATACTTTTTTGTTCCAAATGCTGTGCCGTTGTGCAACACAGAGGAGGTGAATGGATGGTATCTGCATGGGTGGTTCCCACCATGAAGCATGAAGGAGGTGTGATGTTGTGGGGTGCTTTTCTGGTGGCACTGTTGGTGATTTATTCAGAATTCAAGACACACTTAACCATTATGGCTACCACAACATTCTGCAACAATATGATTATCACATCTGGTTTGAGCTTTTGTCAAATCATAATTTTCAACAAAACAGTTGTCATACCAACTCCTTCTGCTGATGAAAACCATTTGATGGGGTCAAAAACATCAAATTTAACTTTGAATTAAGATCATTTTGTAAAACATTCCAAAATGACATTAAAGTCAAACTGTGGTACAGTTCAGAAGGTGTCATAACATAATATAACCTGGAAATGGATAAAAACTAACATTAGTGCCACTCTTGCCACTCTCAAAGAGATCTCACCCATAGGAAATGTCTCACTGATGTACAGACAAAGGTTCATGTTCAAGCAAAACTTAATGAGTTAGGGTACAGTACACTGTTCTCCATTTACCTTTAGTCAAGCAATAATAACTACCAACTTTGTTGCCTAGCAATAGCCATAAATATTCATACATTAGTATTTTAATTAATGAATTGGCTTTGTATTGTGAGAAATGCTGTAATAAGTTACTTTAAATATGCATACTATCATCATACAGACCAAAAATCTGTCTCATTGGTTCAGTGTCAATAAACTGGAATAAAAAACAAACAAACAAGAACATGAATTTGAAATAAAAAATTCTCTTTACCACTCTTCCTCATGACCAACACGTCTCCACACTCATCCTCGATGGGGAGGAAGATCTCTGGTACCACGATAAGGATTCGCCTCTTGTGTGGTGGGTTGATAGTCCAGACACAGTCCACATTGGATGGGTAATCTCCAGGGTAGTTAGGAGACTCAATGTAGCCTGTATACTCTCCAATCTCACCTCCACACTGCTGGTCTGAGGACAGAATAAAAGAAAGTCTTCACACTATAACACAGTTCAGTGCGACCACACCAATGGCTGAAAAAACTACCACTATCTCTGAAGCCAGTTTCCTTGTGGAACTCATTATTAGCCACTCTAGATAAGGATCTCTGTTAAATACAAAAGCAGTACATGTAATTATAAAAAGTAAGCAGCTTTACTTTTGCAGTGGGAGACATTGGTGGCACCATCAAAGTCAGTAGTGGTGTTGCCAGGGCAGGTGATGCAGTAGTTCTGCCCAAACTCAGACTGGTACGTTCCTGCTGGGCAACGGATACAGCGGTGTGTACTGGAGTTGTAGTAATGTCCAGGAGCACAGTGCACTGAAGAGGGACAGGAAGGAGTCAGTGTTCACACAGCATAAACTGAATGTAGATAAACACATATATAGCAGGCCATCTACAAAATACATACTCCTTGTTGCACTCCAAAATTTGTCTGAGGCTCAAAGGAAACTTCAGCAGTCCCACTAAGCTAATTTGAGCTACTGTCTTTCAAAGGTACATTGTGTTTAAGAAAAAAAATCCCTCTTTTGTTTCCTAGAATAGTAGTTCCTTCACTAGCTGTGGCAAAAGGATATGTTCGAATAGGTTTATTGGTGTTAGCCTGTGTTTACTTCTCAGGTTGTACTTGGAGCTAACTTACAAATGAATTTATACTATGCAGATTTGATAGCTGCAGTATTTTTGAACACCAGTAAAACCAGCTCTAAATCTGTCTCTGGATTATATTTGTGCATGTGTGACATCTCAGAGTCACTTCAGCCTTTTCTCCCGTTTATTCCTCCCTCATCTGCATTTGCCAGATTTCCCCTGAGATAAACTGACAGGACCAAGCTATGGACAATATCAGTCAGAACAAATACACCATTGGCAAAGCTGACAGAGTTGTTGTACTGATTGCAGTAAGCAGTTCACCTATAAACCCCATTTCCAGAAAAGTTGGGACATTTTCCAAAATGCAATAAAAACTAAAATCTGTGCTTTGTTATATATAACTGACAAAAGTACAAATAAAAGCTTCCCATTGTTTTTACTGACCAACTTAACTGCATTTTGTAAATACTAACACATTTAGAATGTAATACCTGCAACACACTTCAAAAAAGTTGGGACAGAGGCATGTTTACCACCAGCAGACTGTGTTACAGTAAATGACAATGGTTTTCCAAAATCCTCCCAAGCCCATTTGGACGGTTTCTCGTGCAGCACCTCCTGAAGGTTTGAAGGTCACGCACATTCCGCAGTGGTTTTTGCCCTTGGCCTCTATGCATTGATTTTTCTAAAGATTCTCTGAATTTTTTAATAATATTATGTACTGTCATGCGCGTTGCAGCCGTGGGGGATGTGGGGGATGCAACACCTACACTTTTTCTAAACACACATTTCATCTCCCACACTTTTTGGTGAGACGTAATGAAAATAAATAGCCAATGTATACAAAATGACGTCAGCGAAAGAATATGAACAACCCTACACACCCACAAAGGAGCCAATGCAAACACAAAGGTTAAGTTAGTCTGAGTGACAGCTCTTACAGGCAATCACAGCAAATGAACAGAAAAATGATTGCTAATCAGTTTGTCTCTTGTAAGGAAAACAGAAAGAGCACGTTTGGTTCTTTTAACGGAACTGAGTGAAGGTTCAGATGTTCATATATCCAGTGTTACATGTTCAGGCCAGGTGGTTTTCATGCCATGTTGGCAATATCCAACATTTTTTGTGCAATTGTAACCAACTGTAAACAATGCTTTAAGCATTAAACTTCATCAGTTTATTGTTTAAATAAAAATATTTAAAATCATACTACACAAGAGTTTCAATTTGTAGCTGACCTTCTTTTTCTTCAGAATAACTTAATACAGAGAATTTATTTTTGAACTGATTGACAATTCTCTCATGAAACACCGAACAACTTTTCTTTGTACCTTCAATTCAAGCACAGATTGTAGTTTTAATTGCATTTTGGAAAATGTCCCAACTTCTCTGGAAATAGGGGTTTGTAGGCTACAGTGACATCCTTTGACTCAGCTTTATAGAAATACATGTTAGTGAAGCTTCAGTTGACCCACAGATGAACTTTTTTGCACAGAACAAGGGCTTTGCTTGGTGTTGGGATTAGAAAAAGTTACAACTAAGAACTATTCTCATATACAGTACATATGGATACATTAATAGTGTTTTTAGACCAACTTTAAAAATCCCAAACCCTGTTCTTTAACACTGAAACTTGTGATGACCCCCTTGGCCAGGTCTATGAGGAGTTAGATACAGATGAAGGCTCTTAACTCATTCTACCCAGAAACTTCAATATCCAGTAAAAGACATCTGAATTTCTTCTTACTGTGCACTCTTTGGCAACACTTTTAATAACTCAGAACTCATATTTACTGAAACGCCTTAGTTGTTGCATTAATTGATGTATTACTTTTGCATTAAGGCATGCATGAGATACAGTTTCTTCTGGTCCTGATAATTCAACAGGTAGTAAATGCATGAATTCATGATAATTCATGTTGCCTTACATAAAGTGTTACCCACTGTTCTTTTGAGCTGCTTCTATACCCCTTTTCTCCCACTCACAAGGCTGGCAACTAGCTACACCTTGTCTTCACCCAGTACTACTCTGCTACAGACCTCAGTTGTATCACCCTTCATGTTTCTAATTGCCACATTTTGCCATTCTCTACCCCCTTTCCTCTGTCCACTCATAGCCCACCCCTACCCACACTATCTGTAACTGGCCACAACTCAGCTTTCTTCTCACCTCACTGTTCTCATCATCCTGATCTGAATATGAATGAATGTCATGTATAAAAAAGTGTCACAGCGGATGCCAGACTTAACATATGCAGGTTCGAAGTAGAAAAACTGAAATTAAAGAGGAGAAAGTGCCAAAAGGACATCATTTCCTGGGAATCTGTCCTATAATTGAAAATACATTTTAATAAAACACAAATATGAACCTCATGGTTGATCTAGAAGAAAAGTTGGGGGTTCACCAAAGCCAGTAGCATTCATCATCTGGGGCCCAGAATGTTTGCACAAACTGTCATCAGAACTATTTTATATCCTATTTTATCATATGGTGCCGTCATTATTTGAAAACAACAATAGAATAAATCAAAATGAATGATTATGTGCTGGCTGAGTTATTGCAGGTTTTAATGAAACCATACAGTGGTATAGTGAGTTTAATGCAGGCTCATCAAATTTCCATCCACACTGGAGATAAAGGCCTGCTTGATATCTGTCTCAAATCAATGTCTATCATTTTTGCTGTGCTAATAAATGCCACAGTGTAGATGGTGCAATTAAACTGTATAAACGGATATGCGGTAGAAGTACGCAGATGAACACTGTCTGACATACACAGATAGACACCAAACTTTACCTTTGGCCTCACAGTCCCTGAAAGAGACTGATCCTTCATATTTGGTCATGAGGCCTCCTCCACAGGGGAAGCAGAGGACCCGGCCTGGTTCAGGCTGATAGAAGCCCAGTGCACAGGGCTGGCATGGACGAAACCCGTCTGTAGAAAAATAACCTGCTGGGCATTGAGCTGAGGGACAGGCAGAAGAAAATCACTTGTCTTATTTCGATTTTTTTCTCTTGAAACTGTTTCAAGTTCTGGATGAGTTACGCAATGTGCGAATGCATTTCAGTGTAGGATCAGTCACTAAACATCTAATCGCAGCTCTCAGTACATTAACACTGGTCTCCGGTGCTCTCTTGTGAATATTGCTTTAATACCCACAAGGTGGTGCTGTCCATTACATGAATACTGGATTTGCAGGTCAATGTAATGAAGACTTTTTCACTGTGCAACTATTGCACCAAGGACATTAAAATGTCTAACAGGCTGTAAAACCTTCCTCCAAACTTGGAATGAAGCAGCTCATGTGTTTTAATATGATTAATACAACAGTTCATTCAGTGGAGGATGGCTGCAGTTGGTGTAATGAAGGTGAATTACCTCCACACTGAGACAAATTCTTGGCTCCACTGATACCCTGTCCTTCAGTGCTAGGACATGGCTCACAAGACAGCTGACCCACCATGTCCTGGTATGTACCGGGTGGACACTGGACACACTGTTCCTGCTCCCCACTGTAGAACGTCCCCACACCGCAGCTCACTGAAAGTGAAGGCACTGGTGAGTATTTCCTGTGGTTCCTATTGATCTTTGTCATTATGACAGGGCAGCAATACCATGACACTAGGTGACAAGTAGTTAAACTCCAGACTTACCACACTTTCCGTCTCGTAGGACTTGTCCAGTGCTGCAGGCCTCAGCACCCTCCGGCACCTTGGATGGTTTCTGAGCCACCTCATACTCTGTCCCAGAGAAATGGATGTAGAACTGCTGTTTGTTGATGGATTTCCTGAGCGTCCTCATGGTGCTCAGTAGCTTCTGCTTCATCTTCTCTCGCACACAGTGCACATTACAGGAGTCTGAGGAGAAAATTTTGTCAGTTTCTATACCATATATGGTATAACTTCATATCCTTTTATCAAATATACAGCATCCGCATGTCAGTAACCTCCTGTACATCTGTTTGTCTCTTAGTGGATTTAGATGAGACAGGTAAGAAAAGAATATTACACCTGAGGCTTCCACCTCCTTCATTTCCATTTCAAACTCAGCTGTGATGTGGGAAACCTCTTTTGAAGGAGATTTACGTCCTCGTCTGCGCTTCTTTGATGAGTCGCACTTGAGGTTGACGAATGTTACCTGGCAGTCGTCGGTGCAGGGGAACTGGCCTCCTTCCAGGTGAAAAAAACAGAAGTGAAGAATGAATAGGGAGAAACAGTCTCATGAGACAAAAGCTAATGGAATGTTATCATGTGTTGTCAGTGTCATTTTTCATTTGTTAGTTCAAATATAGATTATAAGTTGCAGTGAGGAAAAGGAAGCTTCCGGCAGACTGAGATGAGACTTTGCAGATCAGTACAACACTTTTTGACAGGACTTCTTTACCTTGCAGGTTCTGCCTGGATGAATCTCTGTGTTTCTCTTTGTTGCGGGGCCTCAGGTGACACTTGGCATCTTTAATCTTAAACCTGGCCTTCTGTTTGATGGGTGGCACCAGCATGTCTTCACACAGTAGAAACCGAGCAGAAGACAATTAAACAAGTCACAGGTAGCGCCTACAGGTATATCTGATTTGGGCCTTTATTTATTGTTAAATAATGCACAGCTCCGTCTTTCACAACTCCAGTGTCACCACCCGCCTGTTTTAACTGATAGCAGGGCTGTGAGACACATAATGGATGTTGATACTATCCACCCAATTCCATTTCTGTCTGCAAAGCTTCCTCAACAGTTTGGACAAGGCAATGATCCCTTACTAACTTTTCACCTGCAAGCACTGCAGGAGGTAACCAGGAACAGAATGGGAAATGGATTGGTCTCTGATCTAATTTGTACTTTTTTTATCTGGAGAGTATAAGAACAAACTGCCTGGTCAGAGATTCACATAAATGTTTCTGAGCATGCTCTTTAGCAATTATTTTGCAGTCAGTATCACTATAGTAATATTTTTTTAGAGCTTATTGATGAAATAGAAATCCCAGTGCTTCTTTATGCTTTGAGCTCTCCTTCACTGACAGTGCACACCTAATCAGTAATCTGGATCAGTGCAGGAGCTGACTGTGCAATAAACCGCTGTCATAAAAAGTAGGTGCTGAATCTTTGTAGATGACAACTGCAAACTCTGTGACAACTGCAGTGCAAAATAGTTTGATGCTATTTTCGCAGTAAATCTCTCCCTGAAAACTACATTTCCCATCACAGTTGGCCTACTGTACCAGCACAGGTGGGTAAGGCAGCTGTGGCATTCCTCTTCTGAGGAGCTTTACCAGGCTGAACTGGCACTCCGCAACTCAGAGTGTAGCTGTTCTCTGAATCTGTAAGAAATCCACATACATTGCACATACTTTTAGACTACTGCTATTAGACATAGTGATGAAAGGTTAATAAAGGTCCATTAACAAAGATTTTACACATTGTCTGATAAATCAAGTGAAAATGGGATAGGACATGATGTCTGTCTGCTGTCCTGTCTCCTCCATGACAGTCTGCTGCCTACAGCTCTTTTGTTATTATTCTAGCTTCTGTACTTTGTGTTTCAAGATATGGCCCATAAAATAGCCCCGCCTTTCTAAGAAGTGTTTTTTGAACTGTGAATAGTCATTTTGAACAGCCAGTCATCGAGGAGCTCTTGGTAGCTAAAAGTCAGAACAAAAAAGGTCATGTTCTTTTCCAAAAAAAAAAGTGGAACAAAGAAAAAGCAAAAACCTGGGTTAACACCCAACCTGGGTTTGGCTTTTTAAAACTAGCCAAAGGAGTCACATTTATTTCAGATCTGGCATTCTTCCTTCTGGATGCATTAGCAGCTAAAGCTAATGTGTATGTGTTGGTAACATTAGCGATATAGGATGGTCATGATTTTACCTTTGTATTTAATGAATATCATTTTAATCCCAGAATAATTCAAGATTTGTGTAACATTAGTGCTTTGTGTCACATTAGCAGTAACCAAAGCGGACTAACAAATTTAATTGTCAGCTAACGCTAGCTTTGGACTGGAGGCTGCATTTTGTACAGTTTCTTGCAACCAGGAATCTGTAGTTTTTACCTTTGCAGTGGAAGTGTGTATGGAAACATGTTTGTTTCATCTTGTGATGGACTGAGCAACAGTCAGTGCTGAGGAATAAAAAGAACTGTATAAATGTTGCATGGCCTCGTTATAATTCTCTAGTCATAAACCAGGCAGTAAACCGGAGGAACCTCAGTTGCCATGTGACCTTAAAACCCAAATGATAAATTAAAGGTTAAATGAAAGATCTATGAGTCCTGTCTTTCTCTCTTCATGCACACTTAAACACAAAGAGGCATTTCAAGTAGGAAATGAGGGATGACGCCTCCAGAGGTCAATCAGCCACAGGAATTTACATGGCTCCCTCAACCTAAAATTAAGAAGCACTCCAAAAAGACAGAAAAACAAATATGTCACTTCATACCTCAGAACTATGCCTCATTCTCACACAATGACTGCCAAGTTAAACAGAACAAGGGCCATGCTATGGTAAAAACACTGTGATCAAAGAATGCAATTGATTTACAGATGTGTGCTAAGTGCTATTGCAGGAGGAAAGGCAAGGGTGCCAGCCAAAGTGCTAGGACAAGGGAAGCCAAGAAAACCTTGCAGAGTAGAAAACACATTAGTCTCAGTGAAGAGCCACCTAAGACGTGCACAAATACAGCAATAAAAAGCCTTCATCAAGTGTCAGTTGCAGTGAGATAAAAGATAAAACATGTCAAGCTGTGACTATGAACTCTCACCACCAGGGGGCAGCAAAGTATGCATTTTGATATATATTTCATTGCCATTCACAGAACTGGAGTGATGTCATTTGCTGGGTCACTAACTTTAAGTACTGAGTTTTTTCCCAATATATAAAGTCTTATTCCTTTCTTTTGATATATAGGGCAGCACAGCAGTGCAGTGGTTAGTGCTGACGCCTCACAGCAAGAAGGTTCTGGGTTTGAGCCTGGGCCAACCTGGTTCTGTTCTGTGTGGAGTTTGCATGTTCTCCCTGTGCCTGCGTGGGTTTGCTCCTGGTATTCCAGCTTCCTCCCACAGTCAAAACACATGAGGCTTAGGTTGATTGGTGACTCTAAATTGCCCATAGGAGTGAGTGTGAGCGTGAGTAGTTGTTTGTCTACATGTCAGCCCTGTAATAGACTGGCAACCTGTCCAGGGTGTACCCCGCCTCTCACCTAATGTCAGCTGGGAACATAGGCCTATAAATTACATAGATAATGAGCAATTCCACCAAAATAATTGTTTATCCTGTTGTCCCTCATTTGTTCCTTTCCATCCAGACCACTTCTAGACAAGAATACAGTAGATGACACATCTACTGTATCTAACGCAGCCATATGGGTCCCTGTTCTCATCTAAACATTAGGTTCCCAAATATAAATGAACCAACATAAAAACAGAACAAAAAGAAAGAAAAATTAACAAACAACTAAAGGTTAATATCATGTTCCGCTAAAACCACATAATCTTGTACATGTACATGTATATAACACTGTGGGGACTCAGTTACATTTAGGGACAAAAAGCAAGTCCTCGTAATGTAAATCATGAAATTGTAGGTAGAAAACTTGGTATAAATTTAAGGTGAGGTTAAGTTAAGGTTAAGGCTAGGTTAAGGGTTAGGTGTAGTGAAGTAGCTGTTATGATGTCTAAGTCTCAAGAACAAAATTGTAAGTCACTGAATTGTGTTCTGCAGTCAAAGAAACACAACTCTGTGTATGTGTGTGCATGTACCTGCAAGGAATAGGGCATTGGAGGGGCAGGACAGTGAGCAGATCTCTGCCCCTCCACTTTTGGTACAGGTCAGCTGGGCCCGGGGTGCTGGCTTTCCATTGGGCAGACATTTCACCGCCTCTGAGGAACACAGAGTCGCATCACCATGACAATCACCTGGACACACACACACACACGTGCATTTGTGTTGAGCCCTGTTGAGAGGTTTCCATTATGCCACATATGGAGGAACCCAAAAGTGGGCAAACCCAAACACTCTCTCTCTCTCTCACACACACACACACACACACACAGTTGGTGTTTACCAATGCAGTCTTTCTTGTTCCAGTGGAGTTTCTGTCCAGGTGGACACACACACTCGTAGCTGCCCTGGGTGTTTATGCAGCCATACTCACAGCTCCCGCTGTTGATGCTGCATTCATCTATGTCTGAGACACAACCACAGACAGCAGTATTGTTGGTGTGTGTATGAATGCCCCCCTTCTAGGGGGGGGATACAGTAGATTAAGGCAGACAAGACATCTGGTTTATAGGCACATGTGATGGTTACCATTCTCATGGTAGTTTTATGTACACAACTTGTGAACTCTTATCACTTTTTAGAAAATCATAGGTTCATTTTAAGAATTTTGTGTCTCTGTTCTTTTGTTTCCCATCTTCGGTTCCTTCAGTCTACTTTTACTGTATGTTTTCTTTCACTGATGTATTATTTTGATATTTTAATATTCTCTATCTCTTTAACGTCTTTAGCTTTCTTTATAAAAGTGATTTTCTATGCATGTATGTTATTTCATGCACCTGCAAGTATTGAGTACTGAGGCATTTTTCTGCCAAATGAATAAAATTAAATGTATATTATTTTCCTTTTTCTTGTTTGTATAACTTTTATGCAGCTTTATGCATTTATTGGACAGGAAATTTATTCTACATGGAAATGCAACACATGTCCCTGGCTGGATGTGTACCAGGGATTGTTGAAGTCCATGGTTAGTACCCTAACACCTGGGCAACAAACGCCCCCCATTTCATGTACATATTTTAAGCTACATGAAGATGTACAATACTGGACATTTACATTTGAACCGATGGGACAAAGTCAACGTTTTAAATCTGGGCTCTGTGGGTTAAGTCCAAGTCTTATACTGTGTCATCATGCAGCCTTTACAAAATACAATATCAGTGGTTTAGTGACAGTTATATAGACAGTTACTGTGACACAGTGACACACTTGAAGTTTTGCACATTGACCTCTGTTTTTTTGTGGAGAGCACAGTCTTTACATCTGAATGTATTAACCTCAGGTATCCTCTGCTGGTCTACTCCGCCAAAGCATCTTTTCTTCCCCATGTAAATAGTGGATGTTAGTGGATGATAAAAAATCATTCCAAGTCAAAGAGTTCAAGTGAAGTCACAAGTCAGTGGAGTTATCCAGTGTTGTAGCTGAGTCACTAAACCTTGAGTCCAAGTCAAGTCAGAGTCACCAAAGAACAGTTGAGTCCCTGTTACCTGAGTCCAAGTCATCAAGGTCTACATTAAACATAACTGACACAGCTCTGACCATTTTTTTTTACAGAATGTAAATGTCTTTTTTTTTTTTACATTAACATAGTACATGAGACAACAGACATTAACAAAAGAGGCAAAGGGATTATTAATTGAGGGTTGTGTGTGTGAAAGTGTGTAGTGTGTGTGTACCCAACTCAATGCAGACTGATATTCATTACTTAAGAGAAAACAGAATAAAACCAAATAAATTATGAAAATGGAGGGGGTATAAATGTAAAAGAATGAAAAGACAGTTTGAAAGAAAATTGATAATTGTAGCAATAAACTAACAAAGAAGAAAAAAGCAATAAAGCAATATCAATAATAATAAACTTTTGCATTCACATACTTATATATACTCATATAAACACATTCATAAAACAAAAATAAATGAAATTAACAGATCAGTAAATGATTAGAAAGAGAGGGAAGAGAAAAAAGGGGGTAGGTAATATTCTCAGTTAATTTGGTTTGTACAGTAGCATGGACAATGAGGACTAATAACAGTAACAATAATGAAGTAAAAAACAGCTTGTTATATTTTTAGGAGTTTATGGGAATGTGCGAGGCCTCGGCCTCAGGTATCTGGTTTAAGTTAAAAGAGGTTAGAAATGGATTACAAGTGTCAGTAAAGGTTGGTATATTACTCTTATGGATGGATGATATTTTCTCTAGTGTGATAGATATTCTATCAGAAGGTTAGTCCAGTGGTTGATGTGTAATAAATTTTTAGATTTCCAGTTTAGAAAGATTGTTTTCTTGGCAATAGTAAGATAAGAAGTGGGTTTTTATATTTAATCGGTAGGTGGTTAACTTCTGTGACATTACCAAGCAGGCAGAGTGACGGGGATAGGGATGGGGGGGATTCTACAGCTTAAGATGGTGGAGAGTTTCTCTGTCACCACTATCCAGAGGGAGTAAATGGGTTGACAGGTCTAAGTAGCATGGAAGTAATCATCAGCGCAATCCAGAGTGCATTGAGAGCAGGTATCTGTATCAATGAAACCCATTTTAAATATTTTACCTTGTGTGATGTGAGTCCTGTGAATAGTCTTGTATTATATAAGCTGTACGGTTATATTGGTAGTGCTGGAAAAGATGTTATTACAGATCTCAGTCCAGAAGTCGGGGCTGGGGGGAGCGACAGATCCGTTTCCCATTTAGTCATTGGTATTTTTATTGTTCTATCTGTATTTGACATTAGTTTACAAAGTTTACATATAATCTTCTTTGAGTTTGTAAATTTCATTATCTCCTCAGCAAGCATGGAAGGTTGCAGGGGGTTGTTGATTATAATGGCCTTCGATTTAATTATTCACTTTAACTGTTGGTACTGGAGAAATTTTCCTCTCCCAACTCCATACCTCTAGACTAATGTATTAAATGGTATAAACTGGTTGTTTTCAAATAGGTGATGAAGGTGAGTGATTCCTTTGTGTTGCCATGTTGGAAAGTAGATGGGAATATTATGAAGTTGAAAGTCCGGGTTATGACAAATTGGAGTGTATCTACACAGTGTTAATGATGATTTAGTGGTTTTGTTTGCTTTCTACCAGGCTGTCAGAGTTGCAGAGATTGTGATATTTTTGAAATAGTTCATTTTCTTAATTGAGTATGGTAGGAAGGCAAGGTCTGCAAATGAAGTACTTTTACATTGATTTTGTTCTAGTTCTATCCATGAGCTATTACAACTATCCTTCTGAATCCATTGAACTAAATATTGTAATTGATTTGCTAAGAAATAATACTCAAAGTGCTTCTAGGCCACCTTGTGATTTGTTCTTCTGGAGTGTTGACAGGGAAATTTGGGGTTTCTTATTATTCCAGTAAAATTGCGAAGTTAGAGAATCAAGTGATTTGAACCATTTATCTGTTGGTGCTGTCAGCAGCATTGCAAACGGGAGTTAATTTGTGGTTATTTAATTATAATAATTTGATTTGTGGTTTTCATTTTAACTGTAGCAAATTGACCAATGAGTGACAGTGGAAGGTTGGACCAGTGTTTGAAATCATTTTCTATCTTTTTTAGCAGAGGGGTGTAGTTAATGTTAAAACGTTCTGACAGCCTGGGGGAAATACTGATGCCTAAATATTTAATGTTGCCACTGTGATGCAGTAGGGGACAGTCTTGAGCTGCAGAATCCCAGGCATCTTCAGAGAGTGGCAATATGATTGATTTATTCCAGTTTATTGTGTAGTTAGAAATCCTGGAGAATGTATTAATAATGGAGAAAGTTTCTCATAGTGAACTGTAGGGGTCCTGTAGATACAATAGTAAATCATCTGCATAGTCTTATTTTATGTTGTGAGTTAGTATCTTGTATTCCTTTGATGCTATTATTCTGACGTATTGCTGCTGTTAGATGTTCAATGAAAATGGTGAATAGAGATGGTGAGAGTGGGCATCCTTGTCTAGTTCCCCAGTGAAGTGTAAAACTTTCTGAGGTTATCCCATTTTAAAAGAAGTTTACTTATTGTGTGTGACAGAATAGACAAACATAAAAAAATCTTTAATAGAGAGGCAGAGCATGCACTTTGATGGAAGTGTGCTGGGTACAGCATGGTGCAGGCAAACAGGTTTTAATATCAGTATCTTATGCCAAATTATTATGGTCTATTAAAAAAAAGAGTCCTCATCTCCACCTTCCATGTCCGAATGCAGTCAATGATGAGTCCAAGTCTGAGTCATCAGTGTTCAAGTCCAAGTCTAGTTGGACTACAGTCTGGGTCCTGGACACGAGTACTACGACACTGGTATTATCTCTGAGTTGTTTTCTTTGATTGTTTTGGATCTGGACTATAGTTTGGGTCCTGGACGCGAGTACTACAACACTGGTATTATCTTTGAGTTGTTTTCTTTGATTGTTTTGGATGCTGTCAAATCAAATATGATCATGACTTGAGTCTGACTCCACCTGTGGATGCTGTTGATGGTGCAGGGCACTGCACCATGGCCAGCCAATGAAATCCTGGTCAAAAAACACTGTACCATTTGAACTACTTGTAAAGGCAATCAGCACAAATTGGGAACATGCATGCATGCACACACACACACACACACACACACACACACACACCATGCTCCATGGACACAAAGTTGCTGGCACACCAACACAGCAAACTCAGGGAGAGGTTGTTCAGGAGAACTGAGGTGTGAGAGTGCTTTCAGCAGCAGCACTCTGCACAGGCTCACTGACCCTTCACCTTCACACTGTGAAAAGCATTTCCCTTTCACATGCATACACACATTTTATCCACTGTCTCACACACATCAGCTGAGTCAAAGCAGCCAGTCCCAGGGTAATTTGCTGTTTCATATATTTCCTCCTTGCTGTGGGATTATTCTGAGCAGACTCTCACCTCCACAGTGAGTGAGGCCGTACAGGATGTATCCCTTGTTGCACAAGCACTCAAAGCTGCCAGGGTAATTGATGCAGGTGTGGTCACAGGTTCTCTCAAAGGAGCACTCATCAATGTCTGAGGGAGACCAGAGAGATACAATACATGACTGCTTACATAGTACTTTATGCAGTGGAAAACGTTGAGACTTCAAGACACATCATCATCAATAACTTAGCAAATGAAACTTTATTTGCTGTTGTTGTTCATGCACTCATTTCAGTATGGGATACTGTCCTTCAGCCAACATCAGCAGGCATTATAGAAAACATCTTAATTTTCACATTAAAATCACTTTACCCATTAGAAATAGTACTCGTTATCTTATGAAAACCATGTCTTCTGTGGTTTTGAAGGAGCTTTGTAAAGTCTGAGGAATGTCTTTGCTTGGATTTGAAGATTCTAAGGGCTCTATTTTCCTGTAAGAGGGAGCAGCATTAACATCATGTCTAAACACCAGGCACAAGGTGAATATGGGCATGTTCAGCAATGTTTTGCAATTTTGGTGACAACACATGCAGCACACTACTGTGCAACGCCAAGGGGGTACCGGGAACATTGTGGAGGAGAGGTGGAATACATTATTATAGGGAGGAATACACTGTGAGCAGGTGGAGTCAGAGCTGGCTTTAGTTATGTCCAATCAAACCAGCTCCTCTCATCCCCTTTAAATAGCAGGGCAGAAACCTGACTGACTGATGTCACTGATGTCAGAACATGGAAATATATGACAGGAAAGTTTTTTTCCTTTTATCGACTTCTCCTGCCAGTTATGGACTCCATTCCTAGATTAACAATGACAAAACTATTTATGTAGAAGTAATGAACATAAATATTCGCTCTGTAGTCTGCTAAAATCACTGACCAGCATTTGTGTGTGGAAGATAGAAAGTCTCTGATCCAGCAGCAGTTATTTACTCACAGCTGCATCCAGTGTGTGAAATCCATGAGGGTCTTGCATATAACTTTATAAATGTTTCACTGTTTTTAAAATAATACAATAAAATCATACTGTAATCGTTGCATTTGTGGTGAAACTAACTGTGGTTCTCCAGAACTCACAGCCAGTGGATGTGTCAATATATTGTATCTCCACCTACAGCTGGTTTCAAAGCTGATCAAACACCCCTACAATGCAAAAACAGACAATGTACATTGTCGTAGCAACGAAGGTATGTCTATGTGAAACTTGCTCCTTTGAGGAAACTTTAACGTAACAGTGCCAGCAGAGCACAGAAGTTGGACTGACTTTGCCTGGTGCGTAACAGGGTTCATAGAGAAATATGCATCTATCTTGGCTCATGAGCTGCTATTATGTGTCACTATGTGTAATTTTTAATGTGGATTTGGATTACCAAACACTGGCCGCAGATCACATCTGACATCCTGTAAGGACAGGTGATGCGTCCTGACATGCGCCAACACTGCTTGACCGTATTCATAGCTATAGCCACATACTGAGAAATAGTTTGTCTTCTTTAAAAATAATATTCATGATACACAATAAATTACTCAGAGTGAATTTCAGCAGATCAGTTGTGGGATTTAACAGCTAATTTTAAGTTGGTGTGGCCATTAAAATACAATGTACACCTCATCTCTTGCTTCACCACTTAGGCGTTTGTCCGAAAAATTGCATAAGGACTGCGAATGAGGTGATTTAGAAATTGTGAAGGCAGGAAAATAGAGCCCTATATGTATAACACAAACTCTGTCTTACAACTCAGAAGATGCAGAAGTTTATGAAGGGCCTAACTAAAATACGGTATTGGTTGAATTGTGAGAAATGTAAGATCCATCACTTTTAGTGTAGTGTAACTCATACTAGATCCTAAAACTCAGGATAGCTCTCCTGATTTGGGTGAGACCATTCTTTTCTTGCCTCGTTAGTCCCATGACTTTATGGATGTGGAAAACTAAAGTTTTTGCATCAAAGCATTTATGCACTGGCTTCAGTGATCCGCTATGGCTATTGATAGTTTTGAACCATAGAAAGATGTATATCCTGTGATCGATTTATATCATGGATTAGCCAGACCTGGAAGAACATGAGACAGCAGCAGTCGGACCAACATCTAGCAGTGTTCCTTAGATCAGGTCTCCTAGACAGCCCTGGGATCAGCTAGTTGTGTTGCTGTTATAAGATTCATGGTGGCTGGCCGCAGTGTGCTGGTATTTGTGGTTTATTAGGTATTTATAACAGCATGACAAATGGCTGAGTGGGTGTTTGTATAATATTCTTCATGCAAACACAGAGTCACTGTGGAGTCTCATCAGGTGTCTTACAAATGGGCTTAATGTTGTGTAACAAACTAATTGCTCCAAATTAAATTAATAGTAAAATATACATTATATTACATAGTATTAAAAAAGATGAGTTTTATGTAGATAAATCAGATTCCAGAGTAAAAATAATCAACTTCAGTGACTGGTTGTGATGCCAGGTCACATGATATCCTCATAGTATTGGACAGTAACATATTACTTACTGTAGTAATGTGTTACATTAATATCATTACTTTTGTCAGTAATGAATAGTTTAAGGTAAAACTGTAAAAATATTTCAGTTACTAATCAGAGTAATGCTGCATTACTATGTTACCTGGACTTGACTTATGAATGATTTGATTCATTTGTCTTTACAGTATTTGTTAATCCCTCCAATGAAATATTGGTGACATAATAATTTAACATATACATACATAGGCTTATAAGAAAACCCCAAATAAGTATCATTTGGTTCAATATGTTTTGCATACTGACAAAAAACATTTCAGGGTTGCTGTGTGACTCCCCCAGCTTTTGGTTCACAAGTCTGATTAAAACCTGTTGAAGTCCTGTCAATGATGCTACAACTGCAACACTGGAATTATAAACTGGTTCAGTCATGGCTCAACACAGAGCCCACTGAGGTTTTGTCCCACTGCATCGATAGAAGCAAAGGTCAGTGGGATGAGTGGTTTACAGACACTGCAGTCTGACTCACGTATGGGTAAACATAGACAGCTCCCCAAAGACTAAAAAGGTCACACCATTAATCACAGTGGACACTGCAGTAAACATACGTACATGAGTTGCACATCTGGAAAAATGTTGCTGGACTGAGGTTGGGACAACTCACATTTGCGATTATATCAATGTCCAAGTGAATATCTGTGTGTATGAGTGTGCCCACCTACCTGCACATGTTTATGTATACTTGTCATGCACCGAATATGATTAACCTGTCAGAAATGAGGCCAGTGTTTCATGCTATATTGCTGGCTGTTCTACAGGGCTTTACAGGAGCTAAAAATACGTCACATTAGAATGGAGTTTGCTACGTGGAGGAAGTTGTTAAGGCCTGGAAGTTGGCTCATTAAATACTCCGGGCAACTGTCCATGTGAGGACTTAGGAATAGCGCACCTGATTCAAGCTAGCCCACAAGCAGAGCTTACATAAACTGAGCTTGGCACAATATAAAAACAACATTTAGAAAAGAAAAGCTGTTTTCTGGTTTGGTCGATGTGTTTTTATTTTCAGTGAGGTTCAGCCTCAGTCATAATGAGGTGTTTTATCTAACTGCTGACAGCATTCTTGCTATCTCTGTGTTTCTAAACATTTAGATAAAAGGAATCATTTGTGGAAATTGCTTATGCAACTCTGGCAAACACTTGATGTTATGATTTGATGGCTTAGCCAGTTCTGGCAAATAGCATGTAATGTTATCACCAGGAGCTATTTTCTCTGGAAAAGCTCACAGGCACCGAAAGATCTGATGGATTTAAACAGTATATTTCATTTTAAGCTCATGAAGGTCATGTTGAAGCTGAACAGGCAGCAGGATTAACCTGGAAGCTGTTGGCAGGCATGGCACAGTAGCAAAGGAGTGTCTGTATTAGGCACTGATGCTGTGATGTGACTGATAAGACTCAATACCACATTATTAAATATGCTAAATTTACCACCAATGAAGCAAAGTGAACTCAACATATATAAAAATGCACATATACATTGTCTGCTGGTTTTGGGCTGGGGACAAAATCACCTCAGGTTTTTGTTGTTAATAACCATTTTGTGTTTGTCTTCTGTTCTGCTTGCTGTGACTTGCAACCAGGAATCTGCCTTTGGTTGTATAAACATAACCACTGATTGCAAGGAAGCTTCTACATGTAGACTACACACCCTACTGAGGAAGACAACTACACTGCTGGAACAAGCTGAAGATTATGTCTCCTTCAGGGAAAGATAACTGGACTCACTTGACCTTTTCTTATTTACTGTATGTATTGAAATGTTTATGCATTTACATGCAGCAATGCATGTATACACATTCACATTTTCATACTAGAATAGTTGAGGATTAAAGGAACAGTCCAACTTGAATGGAAATTATACTTTTGTCATTAATTTATGTAATTTATATATTTATGTTTCCCATCTTTCACTGAGTCAGATGAATATATATATGAATTCCACAGCCCGATCTCACATAAAAATGCAGAGTAGCTACATAGATCCATGGTATAAAATGTAGTTGTGTCACAATAACAGCTGTAAAATTGTGACATGCCACTGTGTTCTTCTTCTTGGTGTTTTATGGTGATTGCAAACAGCAAAATGGTGTCCTACTACCACCAACTGGACTGGAGTGTGGAATGAGAAGCTAGTATTTAATGTCCATTTAAGGCATACGGTTAATAGAAAGTAAAAAAAATACTGGAAGTTGGTGGCTGGATCCCACAAGCACCTGGCTTTTACACAGACAACTGGAGATTGAGTCCCATGACTGACATTGTATTTTTTGGTTTAACCAACCCCATGGCTTTTCCTAACCATGTAGCAGATTTGCCTAAACCTAACCATGTATAAGGAATGTCAGTCATTATTTTTCATTATTGCTAGCAGAAAGATGCTGCCATGTCACAATTTTTGATCCAGAAAAACATTGCAATGTCTCATTTTTCAAGGCCTTACTGTCAGACTGATACATTTTGCGTTGTAGACCAAAGTAGCTGTTACATACATTTTGCAGTAGTTCTGCTGGGACGTATAATGTCAGTTTAGCATAAGAACTGCAAACAATAGGTCTGGACTGGACAAAAGATCAGACTGATATTGAATTTTTCATCTGACACCAGCAATGATGCTAATTTGTATTTGGGCTCCAAGGTCCCATTCACATATTCATTTTCCTGTTCTGCCATGGCCAGTACCTGGGTGCTCATGGCACTTTAAGGATCATAAAACACTCATTGTTTTTAAAGTTTCAAGCACAACAGCCCGTATTTAGACTTAATATGTGACACCCTTGATGACACAGTGAGAATCTGTGTCATTGACAGCTGTCAGTCACTGACCTTGGCATGTTCGTTCATCAGTGAGCAGCTTGTGACCTTTCTGACAGCTGCATTCGAAGGAGCCCACTGTGTTCCGGCAGAAGTGATCACAGCCTCCGTTGTTTTCCTGGCATTCATCTATGTCTGGGTGGAGCAAAATAATGTAATAAAAAACAAAAAGGCCATCAGCAAGCATATGTTGTCAAGTTTCCACCTTTTTTAAAATCTCAAACAAAAGACACACACAGTCCCTGTACAGGAGCAACAAGTGACAGCAAACAGTTAATACATGCAAACACATCTGACTCTACTTGCCATTGTCAACTCTCAGTATGTACACTGGAAAGGTACATTTACTGTAATGTTATGCTTGTCTAAGAGTGCTCTTGCAGTCAGCATGGATCAGGTTGTGGTGGTTGTAGTAAGGGCTTTTTTAAAAATAGGAATCTCACTGTCTCCTCCCATGATACACAAGTTATGTGGAACTAATGGAGTCTAGCTGCCGGGAAAGAGAAGAGAGACTGTGGCTATCAAGGAGAATTAAGTCTACTAATGCCCCTTCACTGACTATACGGGGGGGAATGAAAAGAGATGATGAAATCAAACAGACAAGACATGATTCACAGAATAATAAACTCATTGTCAGACCCAGTAATAATTATTTTGGTAATTTGCATTTGGAAGAGCATCTTGGTTAAAATGACTGTAGAGTTTTAGATGCATATTGTACATTTAAAAATCATTCTCAGTGGCATTAATTGTATAGTAGTAGTGAATTTAACTGAAATGATATTTAAAGAAAAGTTAAGATTATATGCAAACTACTTTTAAACTGCATTTAGTCCAGTTTTATAATGTCCAAGTTTTTAAAGGCTCATGGTATTCAATTACTGAGTGAATATCTCTGCCAAAAAACCTAAAGCAGTGTTTGGACCTTTAAAATGTTTCAAATATGCCACCTTAGTGTGAGAGGTTAATCTCTGTTCCGATGTCCAGGGGTTAGCACATTGTGGCCTTCAAACAATGCCCAGATGTTTTCTTCTATGTTTTTTCAGCATACTACGACCTGGATGACTGAGAATTTGCACGGACATAAATCAGTCCGATCACACCTAAGTTGACAGATGCTGTATTGTATATTTATCTCTGATGCTGGTAAAAACAATAATGTTTCTCCATTAATCCAACAGACAAACAGGCCTGTGGTCCCTAGAGAATATGCCTGCTGAATGTCAGTGGAATAAAACAAAGACACCTGAGCTCTATTCCGGTGTGGTGCAGCAATCCAGAGGCACAGATTATAAAATCATAATAAGGCGAATGCAGATACCCTTGAGGTAGTGTGTTCAGTGCCAGCCTCAAACCTGCTGGCAGATTCCGTTTCACTACAACCTCATCCAGACTACAGTGCCCTCAGATGAACCCAAACTGCAAAACCATGTCTTCTGTCTTTTTGTTTGGATCATTGGTGGCTTTTAGTATAAAAAAATCAAAAAATTGCTCTTGCTTTTGTTTATAGCAATAGTTCCCTATTCATATAATGAAACATTTGTATTTGCTGCTGTAAAAACTTGGTTTATAGATGAGGAGAAGAATAAGCAGGAGAGAGGTCAGGCTGGAAAGATTAGAGGAACGGGTAGAAAGTGAGAGAAGAGAAGGCGGAACAGGAGAAAAGGAGGAGGGTGTGTGGACAATACTCTGGGAGATTACACAGGCTAAGCCCTTTTTGATTGGTGCTCTAAGTGATGAAAATTGAGGGATTAACACCTAAACCCTTGAGTCAAAGAATAAATCAAGCAAGAAATAGAGAAGGAGGAGGGGAGAGGAAAGAGGAAGAGAAAGAATAGGAGTAGAGGAGGCAAGACAGCAAAGAAGATGAGGAAATATTTGGAAAGAAACTGAAAAACAAAGGAAAGATGAGAGGCAGGTAGTTGGTACTGGAATAATGAGAAGTGAGTAAGATGTTTCAAGTTTCAGTTTTCAGCATTCCTGTGTCAAACAAACATTTCTGTTATGGTTGCGTCCCCCTCACCAGGATTGTGAGGGAGAACTGAGGTAGGACTCAATGTGCTAGACCCAGGTGCTAGTGAAAAAAAAGGTGGTTTAATGGAAAAAAACACAAACATGGTAACAGAGTCAATGTATGTAGCATAATCAGGCTGGACAGTACAAAAACAAAGACAGCTGAGGAGACCAGAACAAACAGGTGAGTGGACAAACTAACGGCAGGAACCAAGAAAATAGGAGAATCAGGACAGACGGGTGAGTAGTAAAACTAACCAGGAGGACTGGCAAACGAAAAAGAAATCCACAGCACAGGGAACTGTCAGCATGGAAATCAAATAACATAGTGAAAACACATAGGACCAACGTCCAAAAAGAAATCCACAGCACAGGAACTGTCAGCGTGGAAATCTAAAAGACGTATCTGCATACATAGTTGGTTATGTAGTTCTTTTGGTAATGCTCCGGCAACAATGGAGTGCCAGAGGTATAAATAAGGTCGGAAAGTAACCACAGTAATGCGCCTCAGCTGTGCGCGACAACCCACAAGTCACTAATTACAGAATGCGACACAGCTGAGGCGCTGATCCCGCAAAAAAGAGCGAGCAGAAGAGAAAGGCAGAAGAGAGGCAGGTCCGCACTGAGCGGACCTGACAATTTCCCTCTGAAATGCTTCAACTTTAAAATGGCCGATGGTGGCTTCTGCTTTCTGTATACTGGCGACTTGACTTTATGCAAATGGAACGCCCACAGATCTGACATTGCTGGTCTATGATCTCCAGACCAGCAGACACGTTTTCTAATCAGCATGATTTGTGTATGCCTTTCAAAACCGCTACAAATCATTGCTGGAAAATAAACCCATTTTATGATGCGACAGTGGCCAGATTCGGTTTTGGTACAAAATGCTTAGTTAGATTTAAGGAACAATCATTGACCTAAATGTCATGGTCATCAAAGTTTGATGTTTTGTTACTCTATAATTGTTAGGTCCGTGGCCCTGACCACCCCCAGCACCTCACCGGCTGTCACAGTAGCTCCACCCCGCACAAGTGGGAATGCATTCTAGGCGGCGAGGCACACCTGCTCTCAGTTACCAGACTAGTACTTAAAGGGAGCGTTGGTGTGTCCTCGTCGCCAGATGATCTCTTGTACTCCTGCTGGTAACCTGTCTTTGCTCTCATGACTAGGATTTCTTGTGTATGAACTGTTTTCTAGAATGTTGGACCTGATTTCAGGTAGTAACGAACTGATTGCCCTTATTGTTTTTTGAAGGGTCACTTTGTGTTTGAACTGTTTTCTGTGAACTTGTGTTAAGGACCGGAGTACCCTCTGCTTGGTGGTTTCAGCCATTTTTATATCAGCACCATTTGGTGCCTGGACTGTGAACTATTTCTCCAAGTGACACTCCTCAGGACGAGGAGACCAACTCTTGCTGGGACTGGTAGCATGGCTCTGGATCCCCACTGTCAGCCTTCCGCACACCATCCTACTACCTGCTTGCTGTCTGCTGGGAGCCTGAGCCTCACCACGATGGTAGTACTGCACGTCGGACCAGTGATCGCCTATGCCAGCTCCTATACCTCCCCCTGGACTGTATTCTTAGCCTACGATGCTCACCTGCCTAGAGCCAGTAAATTCTGCTACTCAGGTCCTCAGTATAACTATCAGTATTGCCATTACCATAGCATCCCTGTTACTCATTCTTATCCTCTGCTTTTATTTAGCCAGCTGCACCTCTCTACAACCTTGAGTTGTAGCTCTAGCAGTGTTCGCTGTAACAATAATATCACCTTACTTCCTGTCTTTGTAACTATGATGGCAAGTAAAGGGCATTATCACTTGAATGAACAAATATGTTGTTTTACTGAAATAACTAATAATAATAAGTTTTTTTTCATGTAATCTGTAACCCCACAAATGAATGTATTTGTAATGTAGCTTGTAGGCCTTACACCAGCTACTACTGTTGTGAGGCAGTTAGCCAGACATATTAGCTTCAAAGCTAAAAACCACACTTTAACCTGTTATACCTTGGCTATTGTGTTCTTTGGTTTTACAAAAACTAAATTTAGGACCATTCTCCAAACTCTTTCAATACTTAGTGTCACTAGGGCTCCATGCATGCACGGTTTTGGTATGAGGAAAAAATATAGATGTATTAAGAGAGCTGGCTATAGAGAGCTGCAATGTGTCCCAGTGGTCATTAGTGAAACAGCAAACAAACAAACACACAAAAACCCCACCTGTAAAACATTTTATTGATAGTATTAATAGCTTTTGTAATATGAATTTTTAAATATTTGTATGTGTAAAATATTCAGTAGGCCAAGCTGGCACGTGGAGGTTTGAGAAACAGTAATGCACATGCCCTAGTGAACATGCAATGCTGAGGCAAACCCAGGAGTAAGAAAACCTTTATGGCTTATTTGTTTGGCAAGAATTTTTCTTTCAAGTAAGTGGAAACCATCTTGGAGTCCTCTATCCAGCTCTTATCAGTTATATACGTATTAGGATTGTACAATCACTGTTTGGGGGAGGGGCCTAGTGAACAGGTCGCCCTGGGATCCAATATTTAGATCTATGTAGTATGCATAGCCACTGTATGCTGACATTAGCCCCACAGAAGGCAGCCTAAACTTCAAAAACTCACTTGCAGTGGTGGTCTACAATCAGTGAATTGAAACTTGTGAGTACACTGTACTTCTTCACACATTACAGTACAGTGGTGTGTAGCATGATAAACTCAAGCCTAGCTAATAGTGGTCAAGAGGACCAGAAGAGATGGCAAGAGCACACAGATGTCCAGTCAACACACACTTTAAAGTGTCTCTCAGTGTAGCTTGATAGGAGCTTTTATAAAAACAGCCAGTAACTCAGCCACTGTGTTTTTTCATCAGGATAAAATCAGACCTCCCTGGCCTTATCCTCTCACTCCGTCTTCAGGGAGCTTTTGCTGAATGAACTCTGCATTTAAATATGGGGCCAAGACAGGAATCCACAATAAGGAGACTGTGCTATGGTAAAACTGCACTAAAGTGAACATCCTACTGTGCTCTGTCAGCACCATTTTGATGGGGTTCTCCTTGCATGGCTCAGCTGAAATGGATTTCCTCATCATTACTGGGAAGAGAATGAGG